ATTCTGAGGACCTTGCCTCCAACATTCCATGTTCTGAGGTCTCGTCCAGTTCAGACATTCTGTTTTCTTATCTTTTGAATGTTTCAAAAGATACTTAGGGTCTCTAAGATAAATAGAGGTAGCGATTAAATTGGTCAGGATTTAATTAACCGGCCCCCTCCCCACTTAGGTGGGATTGGTGAGCTTGCTGCCCGGGGCCGACATCTCTGAGTCATGACCCGACTGGATAAATGGGCACCCCTCTTTGTTTCCTTCTCTGTCAAACGGGGAGATGGACACCGGAGTTTCCTTGATCTCACTTTCCAGGGAAGGAGCTCTCTGCCCGAGCTGCCATAATGTCCCTGCGGATGGGGCCATTGGTCTAGGGGACTTCTGCTTTTCAGAGCAGAGCAGAGGAACCCCACCTCAGGCCCTGGGGAGGAAGGTGGTGGGAAGGGAGATGGGATTTGGGAACCGTCAGGTTCTTTTATCGAGCCCTGATGCCTCCCTGTGGTTGTTGGAAAGAGTATGAAAAATCGAAGCGGGCCAAGCGAGACAAACATTTCTGCGCTCCGGGTTCCATCTAGTGGGGACTTGCTTTCAGTAACCTCCGCCGTAATCCTTAGCCTTGAAAAGGTTTGGTGCTTGAAAGTTCGGGACCGGATCCTGCATCCCAAACACCACATGCAGCCAGCTCTGAATCTCCTCCTTGTCCCTTGTGTCCCAGGAAGAGGTGACCATCTCCTTGGCAGGGCAGACCCCTCAACCCTCCTGTCACCCCACTCTCACTCTCCGTGTCTCCTTGTCTGTCTGCTGGCTCCCTTACTGCCTACTAACACGCTCACAGATGAAAACCACACCCTCCCTCCTACCTCTCACCCCGGGCTGCCTTCCTATTCCCTGGGGACAGCTCCCCAATTGGACACTTCTTCCTTCCCCAAGAAATACCCCTGGGAATCTCCTTACGCTGCGAGATGGAATCTGCCCCTGACTGGACCCTCAGCCTGGAGGACATGGGCCCCAAGGCCTCTGTTTAAAAAGGGGAGTGCAGGACCAGCTTTTCTCCCCAAGTCCCACAATTACCCTCCATCAAGTTCCCACCCCCAATCCCTCTCTCAACTTCCTTTTGTATGCCGACTTCCCCCATTAGATAGTAAACTCCCTGGGGACAGGGACTGGCTTTGTTTTCATTGGTATCCCCAGGATTTAGGGTCTGCACACAGTAGGTGCTTAATAAATGTTTGTTGATAGTAAAGTGAGCAGAACCCCCGAGAACAAGGTACACAGTAACAGCAACATTGTCACCTAGATCAATTGTGAAAGACTGGCCACTCAGATCCAGCCAATGATCCCAGACAATTCTCAAGGATTCCTGAGGAACAATGCTGTCCTCCAGAGAGAGAGGTGATGGAGTCTGAATGCAGATGGAAGTATCATTTTCTTCATTTTTCTCGCTTTTTAGGTGATGTGCTAACATGGAAATCTGTTTTGTATGATTTCACATATATAAGTGAATATCCTTATATTATATATTATATAATTAATACATATTAATATATGCACAATATATTAATGTATAATATTATAATTATATGTAAGGAATATATATCCTTATATAGGATATATAGATGTCCTATTGCTTGGCTTCTCAGTGGGTGGAGGAGGGGTTGGAGGGAGGAAGAGAATTCAGAACTCCCAAGAAAAAGAATACTAAAAAGAAAGAAATTGGGGGAAATGTTTACTGACTCCCCTTTGTGGTGAAAACTCCTCCAGAAGGTCTTCTATAATGGGAGCTCCACTTCCTTCCCACTCACTCTTCTTAATTCTCTACGTTTTGGCTTCTGACCTCATCATTCAATAGAAAGTCCCTTCTCCAGAGTTACCAAAGATCTCTTGGTGGCCAGATCCAATGTCCCTTTCCTTGTCCTTATTCTCCTCTGCAGCCTTGGGCCCTGGCGACCACACTCTCCTCCCGAGGCTCTGGTCTCTTCCCCTCCTTCCCGGTTCTACCTCTCTGTTGCTGTTCTGACCGATCTTCTCCCCTCTCACACCTGCTCCCATGGGTGTTGCATAGAGCCTCTTCTCTTCCCCCTCTGGACTGTGTCACTTGGCGATCTCATCAGTTCCCATGGATTGAATTATCATCTCTGTGATGATGATTCTCAGATCTCCTTTTTCAGCCCTCACCATTCTTGGCCCTCAGGCTCCCATTTCCAACTGCCCACTGGACCTCTCTCTCAGACTGGGTGACTAGCAAACCTTCTAAACTGAACTTACTCCTTCTCTCCAAACCTTCCCCTCTTCTGATGGGGTGGAATCTGAGCCCCAGAAAGGAAAAACTCTGGCCCCACCCTTGGTAATTCTATTACCTCATGGACTCTGTACTTTCCCACATGGCCAAATCTCTGGCGTTCCCCTGAGGCTATGGTCCCATCAACTGGTCTTTCGTTGCGGCTACACCCAATCTCCCCTCTATTGTCTTGCCTCCCTATGGCCCCAGGCCACTTCCCACCCTTGGGAATTCTATTACCTCGTGGACTACTTGGCCACTCTCCCACGGTCATTCTGTATATAAGGTCCATCTTGTCTCCATTAAGATGCTCAGATTTTATGATCTAGCCAATAGCCCATAGATGCTCAGATTCCTTAAGAGTCTAGCTAATATGGCAAATCTTCAATAAACTTTGTTTTTGGCTACAGGAAGGCTTGGGTCGAATTCTTTTGGGAAGGACCTGGGTATCGTGATTTTGGGGTGCCAGCACCCCTAACCTCTAGACCTCATCACTTCCAGACGTCTCTGTTACTAACCTCGAAGACCATTAGGCTCACACCCTACCACCCTCAGTTTCTCACTCTTCCCTGGCTCTCTCTGCATACCCCTTCTGCCACAAGTCTCTCCCCACTCCATGCCATCTCAAACCAGACTTCCTAAGCACTCCTCTGACCATGTCAGCCTCCTACTTAATAAACTCCAGGGGCTCCCTACCGCCTCTAAATACAAAATCCTCTGTTTGGCATTCAAAGTCCTTCATCACTTAATCCCCTCCTATGTTTCCAATCTTCTTACATCTCTGTCCCCCCCCTACTCTTCAACACTTGACTCCTAACTGTTCCTCACACACTCCATCTCCTGAATCCATTTTCTCTGGCCTTTACCTTTCAAGTCTCAGCTGAAGTCCCACCTTCTGCAAATAGCCTTCCTGGGTCGGTCTTAATGCCAATGTCTTCCCTCCAATTCCTCCTGTATGTATTTTGTTTTTACCTAGTGGTTTACATGACCTGTCTTTGGCATGGGGAGAAATAGAGGCATTAAATGCCCAGAGGGAAAGAGCGTGGGAAACAGTTCTGTGAGCAGAAAATAATTGCTCGCCTTTTCGGTGACCGCTGCAAGCATGGAAGAGAACAGTGGAAGACAAGTCTGGAAAAGAGGATTAGTAGAATCTCGGAGTTAGGAAGGACTGTGAGTTCTCCATCCCCTCCAACCCCATGCAGGAATCACTGGAGTTTCCCTGTTGAGCATCAGCTTGTGTCCCACGGTGGAGAGCTCCTTGCCTGTCTTCGAAGATAAAATAAGGTGCTTTGCCCTGGGTGAGGGTCAAGAGACTTTGGGTTCTAGGGTGGATCCTGACCTGGGCAAGTCTCTTCTCTCTGGGCCTCATGTTCCTTGTCTCTAAAAACCCCAAACCAAACCAAAACAAAAAACCAGGAGGGCTGGGCTATGTGAACCAAGGATTCTTAACTGGGGCAACTTTGTTGTTTTTTTTTTTTTAAAGGATTGTATCACAGAGTTTAAAGATAATTAGTTTCTCTTGTGATCCTATCTTCTTTATTTTATACATTTAAAAACATTCACCAGACTGACTGCCCAAGGGGTCCAGGACCCCTAAAAGGCTAAGAGCTCCGGCCTTAAAGCCCAAGGCCTTTCCTGAGTTTAATTAATTGGGTGAAAAGCCCGAGTAAAATCTCCACCAGACCTAGAGTTCCCCCCAGTGGCCCATGAGTGAAATGGCAAATGGGTCAAATCCCCGGAATCCAGCCACGCTTGACAACTGGATCTGGCCCAGAGATCTGGTCCAATTCCCTCATTTTGCAGCCGGGAAGAAATGGGATTGAGCCGAAATGGAGGGGTGGGGGGGTCTGACTCCGAAGTCAGCCATGCCAACTACACTAACCAGGCAGGGAGGAGTGTCGGGGCGACGCCCTAAAGGGGTGACCTCAGACAAGTCCCTCACCCTCTCTGGACCTCAGTGTTCTCATCTGTGAAACGGGGTGGGGTGGGGTAGGACTGGATGACACGCAGGGCTCCCCCAGATCTAGGTCTGAGAGCCTGGGACTTGAGACTCCTAGGACTTCAGGGGCTCTCCGCCTTTGGGGGGATCGTGCTCCCTTCTAGGGCCGTGCGGGGACCAGAAGGCTTTGAATGGCATGAAACCAGACCTCTGGGGACGCAAAGAAGCCGCGGACTGGGCCACCGGAAGCATCTATTAAGCCCCGACTATGTGCCGCGCACTGAGCTGAGCGCCGGAGGACCCTGGGGGAAGAACCCTGGGGGAAGAACCCTGGATCTAGTCCATCCTCCCATTTCGCAGGTGGGGAACCCGAGGCAGAGGATGGGCGCCCCGGTCCTCAGACTTGGGAGCCTCAGACTCGGTTTTCCTGCGGATTTGGGGGGGGGGGGTGTGTGTCTGCGTGTGTCTTGTGTTGCCACTCCATCCACAAGCACGGATTAAGCGCTGCGTGTTTGCGAGGCCGGGTTGCAGTCGGGAGGCTGGGGACAGACCCGCAGCGGGAAGCAGAACCCCGGCTCCTCCTCTGGCCCCGCCCCGGCCCCGCCCCCTCTCGCCGTTCCCCCCCCACCATGCTCAGTGGTTGCGGCCAGTCATGCCTCTCTCCAAGGAGACGTGGAATGTTCCATTGAACGAAAACGGGGGGGAGGGAGAGCCCCGCGTCCAGTGAGCATGCGCCAGGCTTTCCTCCGCGCGGGCCCTCCTGCTTGCCGTAGTCTCCGTCCCAGCGGCCTGTGCGCGGCCGGCCCGGCCTGGAACTGGAGGAAGAGGAGGCGACCCCGGGCGGGCCGGAACCGAGCCGGGCCATGGACCAGCCCCCGGACCTGTTCGACGCCATCGTGATGGCGGAGGAGAGGTGGGTGCGCGGCCGGGCCCTGCCTCAGTTTCCCCTGCGCCGCCTCCCTGTCCCCCAGTGTAGGGGAAGGCGGCCCCAGGGTCACTCAGACTCATAGTCCTGGGGCTGGAGGGACCCCAAAGAGCCCCCGTCCTGTTTACGCCCGCGGGGGCCTCTTCCTTGGGGTCTGGGGTCCGGCCCCGCCCCCCGGGACACCCCTGGAGGGGTGAGGAAGGGGCCTCAGGGCGCTGGGTGCGAATCCTGCCTTGGACTGGGGCTCCCTTCGGGGGGGGGCGGCCCAGGAGACCCCCAGAGGGGTGTGAGGAGGGGGCGGGTCCGAGAAGCCCCCCTTCACCTTCTGCCAGCTGCCAGGGGGCGGGGATGATTGATGATTGACAGACAGACGGACGGGGGGGGGCGGGGTCCTGCCGGAGGGGAGGCTTCGTCCGTTACTATGGAAGTAGTTTTGGCTTCCCAGCCCCCCCAAAAGGATCGCGGGACCCGAGTTCAGACGCAGCCGCAGACGGTCCTAGCTGCGTGACCCTGGAGCAGTCGCTGCCCCTCTGCCTGCCTGTGAGGTGGGGGGAGGCTCCCCGAGAGAGCTCCGTGCACACAGTAGGCCTGCAGGAATGCTGCCTGCTTCCCTTCCCCCTGCTCCTCTACCTGCCTCTCTGGGTAATGGGCCCACCCTCCCGCCGGCCCCTCGTTCTGTCCGGCGGGGTGGGTCCTGCCGTTGTGCCAGGCTCTCCGCAGACCCCCTGGGGTCCTCGCCCCCTTCCTCAGTATCTCCATTGGAGCGGCTTCTCACCTGAGCGTGCCCCGGCCTAGCGGACCCCCCGGCGGGCTCGGGACCACCCGGCGCCTTCTGGGCTCTGGATCCCTCCGAGGATCGATTGTGGCAGTGGAGCTTCTGGAGGAAACGTGGCTGCGCCTCTGTGGCCGGCCGTCTCTTCGTCCGTGGCCCTTCGGCCCCGGACCGCGGCAGGTTGGAGGCTTCTTGTCTGCGGGGTCCAAGGTCAGAGACTCCGCGGCTGCGACCATACTGGAGGCCAGCGTTTCATTTTTTAAAATGTCCTTTAAGGCCCAAATCCTGGGCTTTCTGACTCGCGGCAGAGGAGCTGCTCGGTCAGATTTCCAGTCCGGGGGCATCTCTTGGAGCCTCCTCATTTTTTTTCCTCCGACCTCCCCTGGGCCCACTTCCACTCAAACCCTCGGCCTCCGTGTTCCACGGTCGGTGTTACTGCCGCCGTCTTCGTGGCCCACGAGGTGAGAGCTGAGGTGGTTCAGGCTCAGGAATGGAACCGCTGCAGCGCGTGGGGAGGGGTCCTCTGGAAGAAGGAGGGGACCAAGCTCCCCTGATGCCTCCCCCAGCCCCTACAGACGTTGGGATGCTGGTGGCCAGGAAGCCGTGGCAGGGGGTGAAGCCTCCAGGTTCATTCCCTCCAGCCTGGGAGAAGGAGACGTCACTCCTGCCCCACAGGCGGTGAAACAGGACCACGTGGGGAGGCAACCCACCAGCTTGCCCACCTGCCGCTGACTTGGCTGAAGCTTCCTTCTAGGAGTGAGCACGTGGCAGGGCCGAGATGGGCCTGTTTTTTCTGAGGTCTGGCCATCACTGAAGTGGGGGCAGGGGCTCACCTTCGCAGGCCCTAGATTTAGAGCTGACAGGGGCCCTCCCATGTTACAGTTGAGGAAGCCCCCCAAACCACAGCGCTCTTTCCACTACTCTCTGCAACCAGAAATTAATGTTCCTAAACAGTTTAAAAACTGTGATTTTGGATCCGTTCCCTCCCATCTTAATCCCTCCCCCTTTCCTTTCTGACTGCATCGCTAAGGTGGGGTGGGCCACTGCGCCCTCTTGGGTGGCGTCTCCCTGAAGCTGCCTTTTTGTGTCTGCGTCCCTGGGGATCAGCGTGAAGCACAGCCCTTTCGCCCATGCCCAGACCGTGGCCGTACCATGAGTCACATGGCATCGTTCTTAACTGTGCCCATTTTATAGATCTCATCACTGAGGGCCGAAGAGGTGAAGGCGCACCCCAGTCAATGGTGGGCGGTGGCTCTGCTGGAACTGGGCGCTTTCTCAGGCTCACCTTCTTTCTGCTGTGACTGTGGAGGGTTCCGCCCCCTGGACCCGGCCCAGGGCTCAGACCGCGCTCTCTCTCCTTCTCACTGACTACATGTCCTTCTGCTGTCGTTCAGAGAGGGCGTCTCCGTGGCCCCTTCCATCGTGGTCCAGGACGGTGTGGCCCGTGTGGCACGTCGCCCTGCTGTTATTTCAGGACCTGAGCAGGGTCTTCTTCCGCGGCGTGTTCTGGAATGTCGTCCTTCTTTATCCTTCGTCATCTTGACTTTCGTCTTCACTGGCAAAGACCAGCAAGTCCTCGCCACCGCTGTTCCCATGTGTCCTTGTGCCGTGATGAACCCTTCTTTAGGTTTATTCTGTTGTGTGTTTTCTCTGTCCCAGGTATCATGGCGAAGGCTATCAGGAAGGTTACGCCGAAGGCAGCTGTCTGGGTCTGACTGAGGGGAGACGACATGGAGTGAGCCATGGCGCTAACGTTGGGTCTGAGGTAAGTAAGATGTGGGGGGGGAGGAGCATCTTGGCCAGCATTTTAGAAGGAAGGCCAGGGGCCAGAGTCTGATCTGGAGGCGTCATTTCACTGGGAGAACATCGGTTTAGATCGGCCAGAGGAGCAGGGCTAAGGAGGGCGTCTCAGGTCACGTGGGTGACGGTGACGGAGGGTCTCCTGTGGCCAGATGCTGGGCACCACGCCAGGGGCTTACGCTCCCTCTGCCCTTTATGTAGAAGAGGTGGTGATGTGGGCAAAGTCTAGCATTTTTCTTCCAACTTTCTCTTTTCCCGGTCAAGTCCCAGTTACTGGTGACTGGCCCCAAATAGCACAGCCTGCAGCGTTGGTGGCCTAGGGCTCTTGCTCCCCTGAAGTCACATCAGGCTCTCGTCCCCTAGTTTGAGTCTTCAGAAGGGGAAGGGAAACTTTTCTTTTAAGGAAGACACTGGTGATTTAAGTCGAGCACTTTCCTCATTTCTATTCTCAACTTTATCTTAAATCCACAGATTGGGTGCTACCAAGGTTTTGCATTTACGTGGAAATGTCTGCTTTCTGAATGCACGACTGAGAAAGACAGGTAGGGTGCAAAGTAGCCCCACGGGCTGGTTCCTGTGGAGTTAAGCGGAGAGAGTTGGCATTCTGGGGTAAACTGGGCGTTGTCCTCATCACCCACAGAAGGCGTCAGTGCACTGAGGGAGGGAGGCGAAAGAAGGAGGAAAGGAGGGAGTCAGGCTTTATTTCCCCTTCTTGGTCACTGCCACCCAAGTTCTGGTAACCGGGCTGATTTCTGGGTTTTCCCAGCTTTCTGCATTTTGACTTTGGGGGGCTTTCCTGCTTCCAGACTTGATTTCTGTTCTTACCTGTTTATTCTATGAGTCCTCGAGGCCAAAACATTCATTCTGTACTTTAGAAAACACAAAAGCAGAAGAGCTATGAGTTGAGCCAAAACAGAGTTGTGCTCAGGGCGGTGCTTTGGGTTGGGAGGCAGCCGTGGCGGGGCGCGTGGCCGGGTGAGCGGGGAGTTTCTTCCCCCTTCGTCAGTGTGATGGTCGCTACGTTGTGCGCAGGATTGCGAGCGTCTAGATCCCTTGCTGGCCCAGAGATGCTGTTGAGGGCAGGGAGGCGGGGCTGGTCAGAGGGTCTACAGCCTGGCTGGATGGTCTCAGACACTTGCCGTGGCTCTTGGGTGTATGATTCAGAGGCGGCCAGGTGATAGTTACTGCACGGGCTTTGAGTCAATTCCCCCTTTCCCTGGAGCAGGGTTAAGCACCCACAGCCCCTGTCAGCCAGGTGCCCCCGTCCCCACCGCCTCCCTGCTGGGGAGGGGGACGGAGCAGGGGGTTGGCATCCTGTTGTGATCTTCGTGGCCATCCTCAGCATCCCTGAGGAGAGAGAGCCAGGGGAGCGCGGCTTCTCTTGTAGCTTGTATCCTGTCTGAGGAGACTGCCAGCCGCCGTCCTAGAGCCTCCCTCTGGCTTGGCCGCTGGGGCCCTCTGTCTTTCTCCTTCCATGGGTCAGCCAACCGTGTCGCTCGGCTCCTCCCGGCCCGCTGAGCGGCAGTGACATGGGCCATCCTCTCTCTGAGAAGAGATGCCATTTGAGGGCCTGGCCCTGTCAGGGGAAGAGCCTGGACTTGACCTCCCGGGACCAGGGTCAGTTCCCAGGCCCGGCGTGTCAAAGGGGGCTGAGCATTGTCTGGTGGAGAGAGGACCGGCCTTGGAGTCGGGATGGCCCTGGATAGCTCTGGTGCCTCCACGTCCCAGGGGCAGAGCAGGGGAGGGGGCTTCTTCCACGGAGAAAACCCCGCGTCCCCACGTGGTGACCCTGCCTGCCCCCAGGCTTGTGGGGGAGGCCCTTCGTACAAGCTCAGAGTGCCCCGGGGGCTGCTTCCCGGGGTCGGAGGGGCCTGCGCTGGGCGTCCTCTGCAGCCGCCCCCGCCATGCAGCAGGCCGCCAGCCCCTCGAGCCTCCGCTCCTCCTCTGTAACACGGGGAGAGCCGTCGCCGTGGGCGTCGTTTACCTCAGTTGTCGGAGACTCAGATGAGGGGTCACGCAGTGAGCATTTTGCTGAGCATTGAGGTTGTTCAGGGTTAGTTCTTCTCGTTGGCCTCCGAACATTTGGGTCTTTAGAGAAGTGCTTTTCTGGAACGTCTCCGGTTCCTTCTCCTCCCCAGATAGAAATTTATGAACACTGCCCACAGTCGTGGTCAGAGGACCCTTGCTCAGCCTGGCAGCGTTTGGCGGCTCTCTCAGAAGGAGGCCAGAGCTTGCCGGTTCGGGGAGTTGCCCGTTCTTGACCCCAGAGTGCAGCCGCCAAGGTGGCAGGTTCTGAGCCTGATGCCGCTAAACCCGAGGGCTGCGGCATCCTGGGAGCGCCGCCTCCTGCCCAGGCCCGATACGGAAACCGTAGCAGTGGCGACTCCTTTCAGAGGTCCTTCCGCCAGTCAGTTCTCTGGCCGCCCGTGCTCAAGGACCAGACTGGCCAAGCGTCACCTGGGGGATCGGTCCAAGGAAGGAAGAAGCTGGCACTCTGCCAACATGTCTGTGATGGTGACAGATGTGGGTCCTGCTCATCAGTGTTGCCCAGTTCAGCCTTGTCAGCTGCTCTGGGGGGGGGGCTGACTCATGGGGAGGCCCTCACGTCCTGCGTTCTCCTGCTTTGTAGTAAGAAGAGAAGGATGCTGGACTCGCTTCTCGGGATGATGCAGAAATTCCCTTATGCTGACCCCACTTATGCCCAGCTTCATGAAGATTTGGACAGGATTAGAGGGAAGTTTAAACAGGTTGGTTCTGTGAGAATCTGGGTTTGATGGGCAGAGGGGGGAATCGATTCACAGTGGGCTCAGGAGAAAGAAGGAGCTATGACACGGGGGAGGGGTGGACTGCCGGTCTCTCTGCAGGGGGTTGGAGTGGGCTGCTGACCCGCAGGCCTCCAGCGGGGAGAACCACGCCCCAGTTACATCTGGTGCGTCTGCCAGAGGTCGAGTGCGAGGGAGTTTAACCCTGGTCACGGGGCAGCCTGGACGCGGACGCCATCCCGGGACGGACGGTGGACAGAGACGCCCAGGGCATTTGCAGCCCCTTTGCCTTTGTGTTTTGTGTTCCAGGTTTGCTCTTTGCTCAGCGTCCAGCCCAACTTTAGAGTCGGTCCTGGACGCTCCGCACTTTCATTTTGAGCACGACAGGAAGACAGAGGCAGCATCTGTGTGTTGAGTGTTTAAAAATGAGATTAAAGTCCAGACAATGACTGGGCGCTGAGGGTTACAGTCTCGCCGTGAAAAGACTTCCATTGGCCTTCTTCCTTTGTGTCCTCTCCACACGGCCCGTTCTTTGTCAGGGACGCGTTTGCATTGTGGCCTTTACGGAAACTGGGGCCGAGCTCCTTTGAAAAGTCCTGGTTTCTATAATCCTCTGTGAGGGGAGAGGTGGGAGAACCAAGTGGATGGGGGGACGGTGGCTCCAGACCCTCGTCTCCCTCCCCTGGCTCAGCCTCCGGAGAAACGGTCACAGGATCGAGAACGGAGATGGAAACGAGCAGGTAGAATCTCCATCGCTGCCACAGGGCGAGATCCAGAATTCGGTCGTTCATCTAAATCGTGACGGGAACCAGATCCTTCTCTCCTTTGGCCAGTGTTACTCCCTTGAACCCGAGCAGGGCTGGCTGATTCCGACCCAGTGGAACCAATTCGTGTGGGCAGCCAACCGTGACTGGCAACCTCGTGAGAAAAGACTTAGGAGTGAAACGAGTCATCCTTGAAAACACTTTACAAAGTATCCCTGTCATCTCTTAAATTAGCCATTTATTTGAAGATGGCCAGAGATGAGAAAATATATTTAAGCAAGCTTCAGTGTTGTGTGTGTGGTTCTTGGGGTCAGCCTGGTGGGGTGGAGATCAGGGCACTTAATGGCTTTCCCAGGAAATAGCTGGTGACCTTGGACAAGTCGCGCCCTTCTCAGGGCCTCAGTTTCTTCATCTGTAAAATAAGGAGGTGACACCAAAGCCTCTCTCAGTTCTAGCAGTCTTTGCCCCTCTGATCAGTGAGACTCGTATTTCTTGAGTGAGTGTGTGGCTTCTCTCAGCCCCCGGGGGGCATCTCTCTCACCACCACGTTGTGTCCACCCAGCGAGGTCACTGGCCACCTGTTGAATGGCATCATTAGCCTCTCCCCTCCTTTCATTTTGCTGAAACGGCCACCATGCCTGAAAAGGATGAAGGTGCTTTGTTTTCTGCTGCGTGAGGTTGGTCTCTCTAAATCTCTTGGACATACCGAATGGGCCTCATTTGTCCCCAGACCTCGTCTCTTCTTACCTTGACTCCTGACTCGTGCCTGACCCCTCTCCAGGGTTTCCTCCACCTTGCTTCCCCAGGATTGCTGCAGTCAGTTACTTGTCGACTCAACACTGCAGTGAATCCCTGTAGCCTCCTCGCACGCCAACGTTCAAGGCCCTTCACGGTCTGGTGCCCACCTCCCTATTCCTCTGGCCTTAGTCACCAGACTGTCCTGAATCATCCTTTTTTTTTATCCTGCCCTCCCCTCTGAAGGCCCAGCCCATGCACCTTCCCTGAGCTGGATGAAAGGGGTCACCCTCTTCCAGTTTCTCATTGAACTTGGCACAGAAGGCCTTGAGCCCTGTTCCATTCAGCATTGCTTACAGCCCTCCTCTGGAGGTTCACTGCTTGGCCCCCTTAATCCTGGAGGCATTTGTGTGCTCGTCTCCCCCCTCCCCATCCCCCTAGATTGCAGGCCTCTTGAAGTCAGGGCCTGTGCCAAAGGTGATTGCCCCCTGGGTCCTAGGGCATCTCTTGCATGAAACCAAAGCCTTGCGGGACATTTGCCCCGGTCACCACAGATGAGTGTCCCAAGTGTGTGCGTTACCAGCAGTTTTAGCACAGCAGCGGGCATCTCTGAAATTTCCCCACTGATGTCTTGATCATTAATACCTCTCACTTTAAAAGAAACACTTTTTTCCAAGTAAAAGTTAAATTGATTTTTTTATTTTATTTCTATTAGAAAATAGTCAAGGCTTTCTGACCAGTCAAACCCATAAACAGTAACCATCTGACCAATCTGGCAAGCTCTTCTGTAGTGGCAGAAGAAAACTGTGGCGTGGCTGAATGGCTGGCCCAGGAGCCAGTGACGGGTTCGAGGCCTGCTTCTGGCTCTGGGGCTAGGCGCATTGACAGCAGAGTTCCCCAGTACCAGAGAAATCACAGCTCCCAGGCCTTATAAATTCTTAGACACTGAATATGAAAACGCTTTTAGATGAGCTCACGTGGGTAGAGGCTGCCCAGGGACATTTCCTCCTCTGTTCTGCCTAAAGCAGGAGACCTTCCTGATGGAGAGTGCCATCGAAAGTGGGCTGGGCCACCTTGAGAGGCGCTGGGTGTGTCTGTGCCTGTGGGGGTTGGGGCAGTCCCAGGTGCCTCTGATAGCTCTTCTGTTTCTGGGTCTGATTTTAAAAAATGTCTTCCCACCAGCAGTGAAAAAAGACCATGGAAAGCAGAACATTTAAGTAAGGGGTCCTGCGCGTGAGAGGTTTCTCTTGGGCCTGCATGGCTCAGGTGGCCTGATGCTGAGGCCTGATGCAACCACATGACCCAGGTTGGCTTTTCCCAGAGAAGGACGTGCTAAAGCCCCACTTTTCCACCCCCATTTGCTCCCTGCCTCATTGAAGGCTACTCTTCTGATGTCCTGGGGCCCCACCTTCCTGAAGCCAGGCTCTGGAACAAAGATAACCCTTGGGAAGGGAGGGAGTCCCTAGAAATAAGACGTGGGCAGATGGATTTGGATTTTTTCTGTCATCACTTTGATACTCTCTAGGCAGTAATGTTGCTAAATTTTGGTAAAATTCCAATATTTAGAAATGGCAGGAACCCTTCCATGCCTTGCCTGACGTGCTTGAAGGTCTGGAGTTAAGTGACATCATAGCAGCAGGAAGACGTCAGGCCTGGCCCATTAGAGAGAAAGAGTAGAGAGGACAGAGCCCTGGGCTGGCTTGGGAAGGCCTGGATTAGCCAGGCGCGTAGCCCCAAAGACCACCCTGAAACATGTTAGGTCAGTTTTTAGTGACACTTCCTGATAAGGGCTGTTTGCTCTTTTCCTTTCCCAGGATAACTTGGGGTGTCTGGGATTCTCCACACCAATGTGAGAGCTTAGGAAAGTGTTTCCTTTGAAACAAAATTTTTGTAATTTTGAGACCTGGAAAAAAATCACAAGCCACTTCCCCTACATTGAGGTCCCAGTGAAACCCAGCCCCTTGTGGCCTTTAGAAGGAGAGCCAGGACATTAGGGAAAATGTTTGGTGCCAGCCACAAGTTGTCTTCACAAGTTCGTTCAACTTGACGGTCTCCTGAAAACGAAGGATTTTATGTTGTCCTGATTCCACGCTGCAAGGTTGGCTCCCATAGTTTTCGTCTGTGACTAACGGCCCCAGTAAGCTGTTCTTAGTCTGAATCAGACCTGTGTAGTGAGGGTCCAAGCCAGAAACAGGCAGCAGCAGCCAGCAGTAGCATACTCACCCATGGCAGACAGTGGGCGGAGAGAGAAGGGAAGGTGGTTTGGGGGCGTTGGCCACCAGAGCATCCGTGGGCGGCCGTGGCCATGGCCTGGCTTTGGACTCCTGGGGCCTCCTGGGTAGGTGCCTCGTGGTGGGCGCCTCATGGAAACGGTAGCTCTGAGGAACGAGATCCCACATTCGGACAGAAGCTCCTTCGCTCAGTGATCCTGTCAGAAAGGCCCGGTCTCAAGACTGCCATCTGTCTTCTAGAAAGGTGTTTTTCAAAATAATTTATGTCATAGGCCCCTTTGGCAAGGGTGAATCATAAATCAGAATCATGTTTTTATTTTGTTTATTTATTTTTTTAGGCAATTGAGGTTAAGTGACTTGCCCAGGGTCACACAGCTAGTAAGTGTCAAGTGTTTGGTGTGAGGTCAGATTTGAACTCAGGTCCTCCTGACTTCAGGGCCGGTGCTATATCTGCTGTGCCACCTAGCTGCCCCTAGAATCATGTTTTTAAATGCATAAAGTAAAACACATAGTATTTCAAAGGAAACCAATTATATTGATTTCAAATGTGTAGAAATCACCATACACACAAGTGTTTGACCAAGTTAAGGGCCCGTGGTCTATAGTAACCTGACCATAATCAGCTGCATGGAGTGCCGCTTGCTCTCTCTCCCAGAGGGAATTTGAATCAGGGGCAGTCTCAGGCTCTGTGCTTTCACGAGTGAGCACGAGGAGAAGGGTCTGAGAATGCTTTCCAAGGCAGTGTCTGGCCTGGGTGAGGGAATGAAGCCCTCGTTTCTGCCCGCCGTCCAAATTCTGCCAAGAAGGAGGATTTATTAGCGTCACTGATGTTCACGCCTGATGAGGAAAGCAGAATTGTAATCATTAATAGCTAGCATTTAGGTATCATAGCTTTAAAGTTTGCAAAACACTTTATAAATGTCTCATCTGATCTTCACAATAACCTGGGAGCCGGGGGCTAACATAATCCCCATTGTTGAGATGAGGCAGGATTGGTCCTCGGGTCTTCCTGACTCCAGGCCAAGCGCCCTACCCCCTGCACCACCCAGCTGCTATCGTTGAACTGTTCAGTAGTTGGCAGGCAGGGTTGCAGGGGCTCAGCATCCAGAGACGGATGAGTGCCTTGGGCCCCAGCCTTCTCCTCACCATCTTTAGGCGAGAAAAGCACTTGGTCTGAAGGAACAGGATGGAAAGGAAAGGATGGAGTGTCGGAGGAATTGGGGGTGTTGCAGGGTGGGGGAGGCAGGGGTGCAGGGAGAGAAGCAACCAAAAGGGGGTCTGAGCTGGATAACGGATGGATAAGAAATGGCTGTGAACCCACTCAGAGCAGATGGCTAGTCACCAGGTGGAAAGTGGGCCCTGGGCCTCGGGCTGTGTGGTCGGTCACCTGGGGGTGATGCAGAAGCCAGAGGAGGCAGCCCTGTCTAGGCAGAGGGACAAATACAGAGGCACGTCCACATTTTGTGTAGATATTATACACACACGCATGCATGTATACAGTATACACATATTATACATATATACGTACATAGACATGTGTATATATACACATATGTGTATATATAGCTAGATAGACATATAGACACATTCAAAGTGTTCATTAACAATCCAGGGCTGTTTGTGGTGAGTGATGTAGGTTTTGGGGATCAAAGGGCAGGAGAGGACGCTTGGGCCTAGGGTAAGGCTCAGACTGGATGCCACTGGCAAGGCCAGGGGTGGGTTTCAGGGAAATGAATCCAGCTGTTAGCTCGGACAGCCTCAACCAGAGGCTTCAGGTGAGAAGTGTTCTGGGTCTGTTGGGCAGCGGGGCTGGCCAGGAGGGGAGGGACAGGGGAAAGACGTTGAAGAATCAGAAGGCCTTGGCTGCTGCTTGGCCGTGCGGGACGGGGATCAAAGATGGCTCCTGAGCCCAGGGTGGCATCCTTCTTAGGAGTGGCCCGCAGAATCGACACCTCCACACAGGAACATGTCGCTTTTCAGTGAGGCCATCTTGGGCCTGTGAGATTTACTCTTCTGCAGCCAAAGATGCCATCTCTTTTGGGGAAGCCTCTTAACGTATGCCACATCACCACAGAGGTATGTTGGCAATAAATATGTCTGTGCTGTAATCTTCCAAAGCACCAGAGAAGGGGGAGAATGAACTAAGCCCCCCAAAGAGATTATGTTGACTCGAACCATTGGGGGTTTTGAAACTGGAGCTCTATACGGTCTGCCGCGTCAACGCCTTTTGTTCTGTGGCCTCCAGAATTAAATACGGGCCTTACCAAATGGGGAATGCTACTTCCTGAGCATGCAGTTGTCAAGGAATTTTTAAATCATA